TAAAACAATATACAAAACCAATAATTATCTTTTATGAACTAATTATTTATTATTTTACGATATTTCGGTATCCAGAATTAATAAAATTTTAAATTGATATTAAAAAAAACCAAAATCAATCTAAACATTCTGTAAACGCTATAATTCATGATTTTGATTGTAGAAACCAAAAATTCTTTCAGAACTCCATCATCTTAATTTTTTTTCTGAAAATGTTGCACAGTGTTATTAATAATTTATATCCCAAATATTATTCTGATTTTTTTTTGATTTTCCGATTTTTGCTGGCTAGAAAGAAAAGCATGATTATGCGGATGATATACGCTTACGCTGCATTAGATATCCAGTCCCAGGGAGAGGTTGGCTTGTTTATGGCCTCTACGTGAGTTGAAACGGAAATCTATCATCTATACTTGATAATGGCTATTTACCAGCTCAAAAAAGCACTTCAGCAATCCGTTTTACAAATAATTTTCAAACAACAAAAAATGTGACAAAAACAGACATGGGATTTTATGGGTCGATTAATAATTTTATTTGGTTATGAGATTCGCCCAAAAGAAAGACAAACACATTAAAATGAGGGCCCAAATGTTGACGCGGATTATATCTGCTATGGAAATGATGCTCAAAATCGTTAAGTTTTTATTACCCTTATTTTTCATCGTGTTTTATGACTCATGCTTTTAAGTGCTGAAAAATGTAAAATTTAAATCTTATAAAAATGTATTCTTTTCGGCTGAAGGACTACGGTCAATAGCCTTTGAACTTGGTTTTAGTTCAATAAAGCATTATTATTATTGTATTCTTTATATTATGGGTTCAAAAATGGCGAATGCGCCGAGATTAATCCTAGAGTCCAAGAAAGTATTTGGTTTTCACGGGACCATACCAACTTTTCTTATTATTTTTATTAATTTAATTCTAATACTTTTTTGATAAATTCAAGGTTAAGTATTTTTTTTTCAAATATAGACATTTGCTACAAATAATTTTGCAAAATATTATACAGGGTGTATGTATACCGCGTGAAAAATGTTGATTTTCAATGGTACAAACAAGTTTCATCCATAAAATATGAAAAATTTACAAAATATATTTGTCACCGGGCCAATTTTTTTTAATTAAATTTGCCAAAAATGGCGGGTGCCGGGAAGCTAATAAGAAAATTAGGTAAATTAGCGCTTGATCAAAATATTTAAATTATAATTCCTGCGAATTTATTTAAATTCGTTGAAGGGCCTCTTTGTTAAACTTAGATTAAATAAGCCCTCTTTTCCATTCGGTTTTTAATGGATTCTGCCTCTTAAACCCACTTGGGGTTTTAGAGGCAGAGTATATGGAAGTGGAGTCAGTGCCGGCGTCAGTAATATTTTTATAATAAACTAAAAAATGCATTAAAGAATATAGTGCTTGTGCTTGGAAATGTACACAGGCCCACAAAGAAAATAAAACCTGTCAAATTTGTTTTTATCTAAAAATCACAAGTAGCACTACTAGTTAAATTAACGTTAAATTTAAGTTAATTAATGCATTTAACTAATATTGTACTATAAAGTTAAATTAACGTTACTTTTTAATGAGTGGGGAATTCAATAATGGTAAAATAAATTTGGTTAATGTACCTTTTGGTTCAAAATAAGTTAATATTTGGTAGTTTTTGGTTAATTTTACCCTTTTCTAACTACTTTTTAACTCATAAGTTAACTTAAACCATAATAAACCGGTTTAATCAATTAATATCTTAAAGAGATAGTTCTAAGGGAATAACTATTGATACATTTTTTTTTCTAATGAAGATATACATAGTACATAATACTTTTATATTTTAAATGCGCTTTGGAAAAAATAAGAAATAAAGAAAATAAAAATAAAAATTTTTTTTTGCCTTATTTTGTTTAAATTTAATTTAAAATACTTTTAAACATAAAATAATATTAATATTTTATTATAGGTTTGTTTAAATTACCTTATTTTTGGAATAAAACAAATTATTAAAATTAATATCATTTTTTTTTGTTAGAAATGACAGCAAACAATATGGCGATTTTAGGATGCTTTTACTTATTGGTTATATAACACATATAAATTAACGTGCAAGTTTATTTAAACCATTTGGTTATTTTATTGTGTTTAATTTACTACTTTATTAACCTTTTGGAAATTTATAACACTTTGGTTTTGGTTTAAATTTGGTTAATGTATGTATTAACTATAGTCAATAATTACAAAAATTAGTTAAATTAAACCAACTTGTTATTTTTATAATAACTAACTTAAAAAAAAATTTACTGCCGATCTTAAGTTTTGATTTTAGTTGCAGCCCTGCTTTATTTTTATAAAACGCATTTGTTCTGTGATAAATAATTAAATGTGAGGGGGCTGTTTTAATATTTGTAGATAAATAATTAGTTACAACTTTGTTAACTCTTATATATTAAGTTGAAGAAAGTCCAAATTTTTTGAAATTATTTTTGTTAGGCTCCATTATCACACAAAACCCACAACCTATTGGTTTATATATAAAGCTGTATTGAGAATAATTTTTATATGCAGGTAACAATGAAAACTGCAAAACTATCACTTTTTTAGTTATGTTTAGGTAATTTCAAGAGTTAAAATTGACTTTAAATAAACCAAATATTTAGCTAGTTAGTAATGTTACACAAAATTTATAAAAAAATTAAAAATGATTTATGAAGAGTATATAGCAGGAATAGAACATGAAGGAAATCTCTCTGAGGGAAGGAGTGCGCCAAGGCTGTAGGATGTCACCCTTACTCCTTATAATAACTATGGATTGGGTTATGGAAAGAACTGAAGATCGAAAAAGTGGAATAATATGAGAAGTCTTTAAAAGGTTGGAAGACCTAGAATTCGCCGATGATATCTGTCTCCTGGCGACGAGAAAAAAGCATGTACAAGATAAAACAAAAAGTCTAGAAAAAAACGCACAGATAGTAGGTCTAAAAAGTAACGCAAAAAAGACTAAACTGCTAACAAACAATGTAGCCGAAGACAGGATAATTATGGACGATAAAGAAATAGAAGAAGTAAAGGAATTTTGTTATCTGGGAAGTATAATTAGTTTGGAAGGCGGAACCAAAAAGGATATAGAAAGAAGACTTTCTCTAGCACAGAAATCTTTTAAAAGCCTAAACAAAATATGGGCATCAACAATCCTATCCAGAAAAAACAAAATTAGAATATTTAGATCAAACATAAAAAGCATTTTATATATGGTGCAGAAACATGGAAAAATTGTGCTAGCATAGGAAAAATTCAAACCTTTATTTATAAATGCGGTATATTCTGACCAAACACTATAACAAACGAAGAATTGCACAGAACTACAGAAGAAGAAAAAGTGGAAAGAACAATTAGAAAAAGTATACATCTATAGATGGAAATGGATAGGACAAACACTAAGAAAAAATAACAAAAGCATAGCAAGACAAGCACTCAGCTATAAGATACCAGGAAAAAGAAGAACAGGCAGGCCAAATAACACATGGAGAAGAACAATAAATGAAGAACTTCAAAAACAAGGTTTAACATGGACATAAGCAAAGAACATGGCAAAGAACAGACAAACGTGGAAGGAACTAATATAAAGGATGTAATGGCGATGCGTAGAATTAGCTACTCTCCCATCACTCTGACCATAGAAGCCCTAGAAACACCTTTACAGGTGCCCTTTGCTCCAGAAGGAGTTACAGGAAGAAGAAGAAGAATATTACACATAGGTTTGTTTATTAGTTAAATTGTACGAAAAAAACCTTTGAATTTACCTTAAGGATATAGCAATCGGTTGTTAAATTTAGAGGGTTATTTTTTAGTTTATAGTAACCTTAAAAAATTTTAATGGTTAAATACAACAAATTGGTTAAAAAACAAGTAAAAAAACGTTATTTTACTAAGATTTTGGTTAATTTACTTAGGGCCGGTTTTTCAATCATAGTTTAAACTTGGTTCAGCATTTGAACTTGGTTCAAACAAAATATGCCGATTTTCAATCAAAGTTCAAGCTTGAATTTGGTTTAAACTAAATCAAAATATGAACTGTCACTGTTGGCCGTTTAAACGAAGTTCAACTTGACATAACTTAATTTTTCTCGGCTTTATTGTGTATTACGTTGTTTATTTCTTGTTTTGTAATCTGCTGTTATAATAAACCAATGGATATGTTTGAGGTAGTTAGTGAGGATGATTAGGAAATTGGCGAATTCCTAAATAATATTCAACTTCGTGTGCACAGGCCACGGGTAAGACCGAATCATTTTGAAAGGTGGATTAATGATGAATTTTTTGCCAGATTTCGGTTTTCCAAACCTTTTGTACATAGGATAGTGGATTTAATTATAGCAGTTATTGCAAATTCGACCAATAGGTTAGTTATAAAAATAATAACTGAATAGGTATACCTATTATAATAAATTTTAGTAAAATTTATCACATGTAACAAAAAACGACAAATTCATTTTATAATATAAAACGAAATACATACAAATAATTCCTCCTTAAAAGAGGTAAAGTTGGCAGCACGATTTTTATCCATAATTAATAATAATTATTGTTCTTTAACAATAGTAAATTGTTTTAAAGCACCCTTTTGCACAGATTATAACTTTATAAAACAGCACAGATAAACAAAACTCCAAAAGTAAAAACAAAATCCTTTTGTCAAAATGACAGTTTCAACTACTATTAATGTAGGCGTACACTAAATTCGGTTGTACCAACTTAACTTTGACACCGCTGATCTAAGTTCAACAGAACTGCTGTTGAGTCGACATTTAAAAACTCATTTGACTGTGAACTGAGTTCATTAACTGATCTAAGTTCCCCTGAACCAAGGTTTAAACCCTAATTGAAAAACCGGCCCTTAGAATGCTATTTATTTAAACAGTTGTGCTACTTGGGATGTTAAACCTGAGCATCGGGTTTTTAATGTTTTAGTAATATAAAATTTGTGATTTGATAAAAGTATGTGTGCTTACCCTGCTTTGCGTACAGCGCCAGTGCAGTTGAAGGATGCTGCGGCAGTTCCGGTCTGTTTTGCTTTGTAAGGGGAGTTCATCACGCTCTCGCCATCATCCTCGTCCGACACGGCCGTCGTCAAGGACATACGATCATCGTCGGAGATCTGAAATTAAGGGGAAAAATGGTTTCCTTAAATGTTTTTTTCACATGAATGCGCTACATCCGTCTTGATGAATCTACATTTTGAGTGGATACGAACTTTCTTTATCAAATTAACGATATCTCGATTGAAAATTCTGATTTTCAGGAAAAATAGTAAATTCAGAAAATATTTGAAGGGGTCAATGCAAGAAGTGCCTGAGTCACATTTTCAATGAAATTGACATTGTGGCGCCATCTGAGAGCTTTCAGGTGCGTTCATAATATAGCTTTCGGTTTAAAATTATTTTTTTTATATAATTGGTGTAAAATAGATAAAATAGCATAAAGAATTCATGTCGTAAACCCTTTTGTCGCACTCGTCCATTGCAATTAATTGACCTCGTGCGACAAAATGGCGTCTTATGACATTTGTTCTTTAATATACTATTACAAAAATTACATAATTTATTTTGTTATTGTTATCTTACATTGACTTCATCCTAAGCTCACAACCTTAGCAATCCCATTTACATGGAACCAATCTAAAAATTAAGCAGTTGAAATTTAACAACGTAACCCATCTTGCAAAACAGGTTCAATTATTGGACACTGATTGAACCTTGTCTCAAAATGGAAGTATAAATTAGCAAAATGATGTCATTGATGAAGAGTTTGATCAGTTATAAGAGGCCGACGCTGTTTATGATTAGCCAGCCTTAAATGTTCTTAGTTTTGCTTTAAGTTAAGTTTTACTTATCATGTCGTAATATTTTTCTTGAAGCGTTTCTTGTTTTATGTAGTCTGAAGTTTGTATTTTTACGGCATTATTTAATAAACCTTTTTTAAAGTATAAACAAAGTTTTCCTTAATATAACCCTTAATTTTTGACAAAATAAAACAATTTCAAGAGGAATTATATACATAGAAATAATTTCTTTAATTATGTAGATAAAAGAAGAAAACCCAAATTTGTCCGCATATTGGCGCCAAAGTTGACGTAGATAAATTAAGCATAAATACCTACTATACATTTGAACTACTGCAGTTGCCACTTCCTGTCGCATTCCCAAAGCGCCAAATTAATTTTATTTATGGATATAAAATTAATTATATGTACACATACAATTAATTGTAAAATAAAAATGAATGACGTGTTATAAATAAGAAATTGCAAAATAATAGAATAAAATAAAATAGTTTAAAAGTCTTGTTAAAAAAAATGTTCAACAATGTGTTTAGTCTCTCAATAATTTCAATATAAATTTCAAAGTAAAAAAATTAAAAACCTCAGAAATAAAAATGACCAAATTTAAATGACGGAAAAGTAATTCAAGGGTAAAATATTTAAATGTTACAAAAAATGCGTATCAAATTAAAATGTATAATAAAAAGTATTTATTATTATGTCTAGACATAATTACACTGCGCGTCTAAATTAACGCATAACAAGTAAAAAAAATCCAACTAAAACGCCTTTACCAATCTTTATAAAATTTTGGATAAAAATACTTTAACTTATATCTCAGTTTACACCTTCAAGGGTTTTGTTAGTATACCCTGAAAATTTTGTACAAATCAAACAAACAGTAACAAAAATACAGCGCTTCAAAGTCGTCAAAAATGACTACTTTTCAGAAAAATAATCAAAAAGGGGTCATTTTTACCGACTTTGAAGCGATGTATCTTCGTTACTGTTTGTTTGATTTGTACAAAATTGTCAGGGTATACTAACAAAAATACGGTCTTTAACATCATATTTTTTATTTAGTTAAAAAAATTCGCTAAAAGTTATTTTTCGAACGTTTTTTTAATATTAAATAAAAGGGCTTTAAAAATATTTTCTCGAATAACCCTCGAACACGTAAACTGAGATATAAGTTGAAGTATTTTTATACAAAATTTCATAAGGATTGGAAAAGGCGTTTTAGAGTTAGAATTTTTTTACTTATTATGCGTTAATTTTGGCGGGCAGTGTATAAATAATTATTATTATGCCTAGACATAATATTTTTCCTACCTGTTTCCATTAAATTTAAATTAAATTTATGCTTGACATAATTTTATTTAATTATTATTACGTCAGACATATTTAATTAAAATTATAAGAGAATATATATTTCATAATTTTAAAAAACCTACTTCAATGTTCTTTTACCTTTAAAACATTTACGATTAAAAAGTAAAATAGCGTGCCATGCACTTATAAGTATATATAGAAAGTTCAAGTCAAATTATTATTAAACTTCGTACAGAAATAAAGCTGAAGTTTTATTATGTCAGTTACCTTGAAAACCTTAAAATGAAGTCATCCAAAGAAATTATTTAATTAAATGCTTAACAAATAGTAATCGTAATAAAATAAACAGTTTATAAATAAATAATTATGGATTAGATCAATTAAATTCAGTTTTTTGGTGCACTGAATTTGAATTCGTTATCGCTTAGGTTTCACCAGGTCAGGTTTTTGAAAAAATTCTAACCTAAAAGTGATATATCGCAATATTTGCTAAAAGTAAATTATTTTTAACACCAGTGCCTTAAAATGACATGTAAGGCACTAAAAGATACGCTAGAAGTTATACTTTTATTGAGGTTTGTAGAAAAACTTTATTTTAATTATTTTCAGTTTTGAAACAACAATAGGTATTTTTAAAACCAAAATAACTTACAATTGGTAAGCCAAACTTTGGACAAAAAAATAAAACAATTAAATTTTTTTTTGTATTTTATTTACTCAAATAATTAATTGTATAATTTAAAACCAATTAAAAATTAATTTGTTTTAGTTATTTTATTTAATTATTTACACAAATTGAGATTTTAATTACATTTATGGTTAAAAAATTACATAAAATTCACAAGGATGAAAAAAAAAAAACATTGCCAATGTGAAACTAAAGCCCACTTAACTCATAAAACGATATAAAAACTGTTTATTTAAATCTAAAATTTGTTGAATAAAAATATAAATTTTCCAGCTTCACATTTTTCTCCATGTTTAAATATAATGCTATCATATCCACGCTACATAAACTTTCTGAAATACACATATAAAATGATTTACTTTTCTAAAGAATATGTCTAATGTTACTGTATGTATTTATATAAATTATTATTATATTTAAATGTCTGATAAAAAATTAGGTATACACCTATATTTTTAATGAAAATGGGTTTATTTTAGATTGTGAAAATATTTATAAAAAAAATAACGACTGACGCCTTATTTTATTTTGTGTCGAGACATTTTTAATAGCGTTTTTTTCAAAAACGGTTGGCTCCATGACTTTCTAACAAGAAAACATTTTGTACATAAAATAATCTGGAGAATTGCATTCGAAAATTCTAAAAACACAAACAATTTTGAGGGTGAAAAAAAAACGATTGAAAATCATATCTCAAAAACCATGACATAAAAAAATTGCCATTGAGATTTTCGAGTTTAGCAGGCCAAAAACATTAGAAAATAAAGGTGGCACCGAATGTATTTCTTTTTTATTAATTTGTAAACCAATGTTACGTTTATTTTAAATTTTAAATGAAAAATTAACTTTTTAATTTTATTTAAATTGCAGTTGGTTAATTTTTAAGCTTAACTCTTGTTAAATTATTTTTATCATGCAGATAAAAGAACCATAAATTATGAACTACTTTTCCCTTAGCTTCCTCTTGTACCGGCTAAAACTTAATTAAAACACCCTGGAATTCCTTCGGGTCATGTTTAAGTGACTTTTAGAGTTTTTCCACTATCTTGCCGCAACGAAAACCTGAGCAACTTCTTAAACACAAAAAAGAAACTTTTGTGTTTTGCTGCGAGATATTTTTCGGATTACCTTTACATCAATAGAATTACATATATTGCCAAACTGTCTGTAATATTTTAAAGAAAATGACTAACTTTTATTTATTTAATTTAATATTAACTAAGCAAAATAAAAAACGTTAATGAATATTAATTATTTTTTTAGTATTTTCTTTTTTGTTATTATACTTAAAGGAAAAAATACAACAATTTTAAACCCACTTTAACAAATTGCACAGTTAAAAAATAGTTAATAGTTAATTTTAACCAGATTTTATGATAATCAAGGTCCACATAACTTTATGTTAAGTTAACAACCAACTGTAATCTGTTAACTAATTTAAGTTTGTAATTATAAAAAACATTTTGTAGAAAAGTATTTGTTAGAAATTGGGAACTTAAATTAAAAGAATTTTGATAAGAAATGTTACTTTATTATTAATTTCCTAAACAAAAAACTTAACACATACCCTCATAAACGAACACATAAATAACATACACACAATTAAATAACACACCATTCTGAAATTATTAAATTATAAAGAAATTTGGTACAATATAATTAATAGTACTAATACACTTACTGATGTATTTCGTAACTTTAACCCACTTTATCTTCTAATTTTAGTTTGAAAACCAGTTATGGCATCTTTCTTCGGATACTTCGCACTTCTCACACTCGTTAAATAGGAATAAGGAATCCGAATAACAATATTAACAGATTTCTGGTAATATATTATAAACACTCCGGACAGTTATTACTAAGACGTTACGAATTAGAATAAAGTAAGCAGAAACATAAGTTGCGGACGCTGAAGTTAGTTGAACTTGTTGATGCGTATTGTCAGTGGAAAATGTTTTGATTGACTGCCTGAAATCACTTTACTTTTTTTGTAACATTTGAAATTAACAAAAGACTTACAAAATGTCATATTACTTTTACAAAACTTGTTCAAAACCCTGGTTTTCAACAAAAAATTATGTTTAAATTTTACAAAATAAAATTAACAAACTACAAACTCATGTTAACAACAAATATGATTTTTATAAAAATGTAAACAAATTTTCATTCGCTATCTTCTCACTATAACTCATCTAACTTTTACAACCAAATACAGAACTAACCACCATTGTATTTTACTATCGAAACACATGGCATGCTTTATTTACAATACACACAATGGACATTATAATGTATACGTGTCCATTATTTTAATATA